GAATTTATTTTATTATTAATTATTTATAATGGAAGAATTATTGTTTAATTATTATCATATATTATATATACATAATATATATATATCGTTTTTTATTATTATTATATAATATTCATTATATTATTTTTATATTATATTTATTACTATTATTATTTATATTATATTTATTATTATTAATACAAAATATTCCAGATTTTTTCAATTTTATCAATATATTTTTTATATTGAGAAATAAATGTTACATAAATATAAGTTGTTTGAAATTTTTTTGAAAAATTATAAGAAAAATATGAAATAAAATGAGAACAATAACAGATTTATAATCATTATGACATTATAATTTAAGATAAGACAATTGTGTTAATTATTAATATGATATAGTCAATAATTAAATAATAATTTAAGATTGAATTTATTCTAAAAAGATTATTTTTATATCAACTCATTGATTATCAATTCTTTATATCAATTTATATATTTTATTTCAATATATTTTCTACATGTGAAAATCTAATAGCATAAGACTAAGCAAATTTGATAAATAAATCATTTTCTTTGAATTTTTATAACTTTTTGATGTAATGAATGTCTTAATGAATGTTTATATATTTTTTTTATTTATATATAATATAAATTATATCTATAAGATATATTGAAATATCATATTGGATTATATGGAAAAAACTACAATACTCTATTCATATAGCAATCAATATATCCAATCAATATATATTTTAATAATAAATAAAGAAAAATGAAATTATAGAAAAAATCATTAAATTATAATATTGATTATTATTATCTATAAATGATAAAAGTTTTTTTTAATTCTTAAAGTAATATATTCTAGAGCAATAAATTAACACATAGATTTATGCATAAAAAATATAGAAAAATGTACATATAAATTGTATTACAAAGAATTTTATGAAAAAATAATCTGTAAATTTATAAGTATAAAATTTTTACTTATTTCAATGATCACAATATATTAGTTTTATATTATTATATATTAATTTAGCATTAATTTTTTTGTTCGATATATATATTATATGTTTTTTAAAATTTATATTTAAAGAAAAAAACTAAATCATATCATAAAAATATTTAAATATAACATTATTTATATATCTTTGAAGATTATCTTTTGAATAAAAATACAATAATAATAAAAACATATTATAATATATATAATAATATAAATGTTATAAAAACAAATACTAAGTAATACACACCCGGATGATTGTCATAATCTGCAAAAACCGACGGAACACTACCTTTACGTAGAAGTAATTTATGTCCTTTAGCAGCTTCGTAATCAGCTCGTTTAAAATGTCTGTGACAAACAACTTGACCTGGTGAAGGTTTAAAATTCGTGTCAAATCCACCACTAGTTAACCATTTGTTTCTTAAAGTAATATCTTTCGGAAATTTATGAAGCGGTAACCCTTTAGCACGCGCATCTTGCACATCAGCCTCACAGCTACGCACGCAACATTTGCGCGCCATTCTCATTGTTCCTATAGGTAGTATTCTTTTGATATGCGACCGCGCTATACGCCGTCGCTTCATTTATGTGCTACATAGCAATGTGCCGCAAAAGTACATTTCCTAAGATATTCGTGAAAATAAAATGTAAGCACGAGATTAGCAGTTGTGTGTCTACCACTTTGACACGCACCCTTCCAAGTGAAAATACTTCAACTAACGTTCGTAAAAACACTGAACTACCTCAATTGCGTATATGATCCACTAATCGATCTGTACTTTTCGAAGAACGTTGAGTATATAAGCATTACTTATTAAATAAATTTATCAATATGTGGCGCCCTCTTCTAATTTTCATGAATATTCGCAATAATATAAAATAATATTTCATGTATCATTCTTGAAATTATTTATTTAAAATATTAAATTTTATCTAATAATTATATTAATAGAATCGTTAATTTTACTAATAAAATCATTCGAATATTAGCATTAGATATAAAAATTATTTCAAATACTTATTATAATACTTTTATTGCATTCTCATGAGAATATGATATTACAGATACACAATAATTATAATACATATGATAATAATATTTATATGTATATATAATAATAATGCTACATATTAATAATAATAAATAATTTTAATACAATTTTTTATGTTAAAAAATATTTCGTTTAGTTATCAAATTAACCAATAAGATTATGTTATTTTTATTTAGTAATTAATTGAAAGTAGTCCCTAAAATATCACGTGACTTCCTTTGAACTCGTTTCTCTTTCCTTTTAGCTGGATCAAGCGAATGTCGGGTGCTTGTTCTCTTTTCTTGAGCTAAGGCTATATCAGCGACTTGCACCGTTTTATCATTCCATCCAGCTTCAATATATTTTATACAAGTGACAAACATGAATAAGAAAGCTGAACTTGCTTGCGTTTATTCAACACTAATTCTTGTTGATGACGATGTTGCTGTAACCGTAAGTATCACTCATGGATTTTGATTTTTTAATATAAATTAAATGTTTAAAAGTCAAACTGATTATTTATAAATTCCTCAATTTTAGTTTTTAGAAATCCAATTTATTTATCTTATTAAAGTTAATCATTTGATGAACTCATGAAAATTAAAATATTATTTTTATTTTATTATTAATAAAATTAAAAATATATATATATATGTAATATGTTACTTATATATTTTTAATATAATATAATTATAATTAAAATATATCTAATAGCAAAAAATATCAATTTTTATAGGGAGAAAAAATTCAAACAATTTTAAAAGCTGCTAATGTTGATGTGGAATCTTATTGGCCAGGATTATTTGCCAAAGCTTTAGAAGGAGTTAATATAAAAGAACTTATAACAAATATTGGATCAGGAGTTGGAAAAGCACCAACAGCAGGTATATTAACATTTAATATTACTTAAATATTTTTGTTATATAAAATTTTTTTTAAGATGAAATATATTTATTATTATTTTTTTTAAGTTTTCACTATATAATATATAAAATTACTTAATTAAATACATATATTTATTTATTCATTTATTATTAAAAGAAATATATCCTCTTCATCCACCGTTCTATAATCATTTATTTTAGTGCGGTCAGCAAAAGAGGAAATAGAAAAAGAAATAGAAAGTTCTGAAAATCATATTTAAAAATGTGATTAATATTTCTATATACGACAATGATAAATAATAATTTCATTATTGTTTTACATAGATCATATAATTATATTGAATTTTTATATAATAAAATTATTTATTTTTTAAAGCACCAGCAGCAGCTGCACCTGCAAGTACAGAAAGTGCACCTGCTAAAGAAGAAAAGAAAAAAGAAGAACCTGAACCAGAATCAGATGATGATATGGGCTTTGGTACGTAATATATTTTAAACAATATAGTATTAATATTCTTACAGATTTTTATAATTTTTACATTCAATGATTATTATTATGTATTAGCTATTGATATGTCTGATGATATTACAAAAATGAGAATATTATAATAATGTATTATATTGTATTATAAACAAGAAAATTTGACTTTATAAATTTTTTTTTTTACAGGCTTATTTGATTAAGCTTAAGGATCACAATGGATCAATTTATTGGTCTATGTATCATCTTTGTACAGTTGTATTGTACTACAAATAAAATATTTTGAAACTAAATCATTTAATGATATTAATTTCATTTATTAGAAAATAAATAATTTTCCTATTTAATATATATTTTTTTAAATATAACAAATTTAAAATTATTTTGTTTTATTAAAAATTATTATGATTATAAATATAAATATTCTTTTTTTATGAAAAAATTACAAATTTTTAATCATATATTTATGTTTAAAAATTATATAAATTTATTTTATATAGTAAAATTTTTTTAAGATGAAAAATCGTAAATAAAAACTATATAAAACTTAAATTTTTGAGTTTAAATTTATAATAACAATTAATTAGTTTATTTATTATTTTTAAATGAGATGTAATTTGATATAATTTTTTTTAATAAAAAAATATTTGTTATATTTAAAGATTTTTTTCGATACATATTGTTTGAAGTTTGTGCTTAATCGATAGTATTCAACTATGACTTGATTAGTCTAGTACTACGCTCCGTGATTGGCTAATGTTTTTTATTAATAATTCGTAACAAAACTATAATAAAAATTTTTTTAAAGGAAAATTACTTCAGGAATCTTCAATTAATATTTGCATTATCAAATTTTTAAGATATCCTGTATATGTACTATATTTTTTTTTGATTGAAAATCTACATGCCGCGACATCTCGAAGAATTAAAAAAAAACAAAAAAAAATGGCGAGTACGAAGATCATGGAATTTTTTAAAACTTCCAATAGAAAATATAAAATTAATACCATAGGATTAATAATGAGAAATGTACACGATATAACTTCAAAATCTGCTAAAAAAGTTACTCATACTGGTCAGGTAAAATTAAAATTGTAAAAAAATATTTATATTTATTTGTGTAATTTTTTGTAACCTATATTATTTATTTTAATAAATATTATTTATTTTTTTAATAGATATATGATGAAGATGATTATCGCAATATACGATTTGTAAATAGACCAAAAGAGATTAATGATAATTGGGCCATAAAATTGATAGCAGAAGTTTCTCCTACATCAGCAAAAGAAAAAATTGTGGCATGTGATGGAGGTGGTGGACCTCTAGGACATCCAAAAGTTTATATTAATCTGGTATAAATTATTATAGTATTATAATACTATTTAAAGAATATTTCATAATTTTATTTTTACATATTTTAGGATAAACCTGGTAATCATACTTGTGGATATTGTGGTTTACGCTTTTATAAAGAAGATCATTAAATAAATACAATATATACACATATACATAGTTAAATTGTAAATTATTAATTTATTTTATGTATATTTATGGTAATAAATAGAAATATGTATATAGGATAAAATCTCTTTTATTTATATATTTTAAACTTTCTAATTTGTGGAACAATAATAAATTTTCTAAACAAAATTTGACTTTGGTAATAAATTTTTACAAAGCTGTTTTTTGGCTGTTCATACTTAATGGTATTGCTTGCAATTCAGTTTTCATACAGAGGAATTCACCACAAACACACATTATACTTAAAGATATAATATTTAAACACCACCAACTAAAAGTTGATGGAAAACTTGCATTATATGCCCAACAGCATAATAAATGTATTAAATGTGCTGTACATGCAAAATCCATACATTGTTTTGTTCTTTGTACTAGCCACCATAATGCAATTGCTCCAATCAATGCATTTAAAATAAAAATAATTATAATAAATTGACCAGCAAAATCTCTAACATGGATTTCTTTATAATGGAAAACATAATCTAATGATTTTGTGGATCCTATATATGATGCAACAATCCAAATCCATAATCCAAGACAAAAATACATCACTGTTTGAATAGCAATTATTTGAGATATAATAAGAAATGGATCCCATATTGTTTTTCGAAATTGTCCAGAAATATTATTCATTGTTTAATTATTAAAATATTAATTTTGTTTAATAAAACAATTCTATGTTATATATTTTGTATTTTATCATATTGAAGTTTCTTTTCATCTAAAACAAAAGTGATTAATATAAGAATGAGAAATTTTTAATACGTAAAAAAATATATGTATATTAGAATTATATATATATTAATAATTTTATAATTTATAAAATATATAATTTATTATATATTATAAAAATCTTAATCTAATATTAAAATTGTAGAATAGAACTTTTTTTATCTTGTAATTCTTCTTTAATTTGTTTAATAAGATAATTTCATTTAATTATTTTATAAACATATTGCACAATTATATTGATTTGTTACATGTTAAATTAAAATATGTTTTATATATATATATA